TAAACATTTCATATACATTTTGTGACTTAATGTAGTCTTCAGGACAGCCTAAAAGGAGGTATTACTATGCCCATTTTATAGATAGAGAAAATGAAGCTCAAAAAAAAATAAAAGTGAAGCTCAGAGAGTTTCAAATAAAGTGACTTACTTACCTACTCCAAAGACCATGTTCTTAACCATTGTGTTCCCTTTGTCTTGATTTTGGCTACACATACAAACACACAATGAGTGTTGGATTTTTCAGGATTGTTACAATAGAAAAAAAATTGATGGCTCGTCTATAAGCCATCAAAATTACTTGAAATTTCTTGTATTTGTTGAGTTTTAGAAAATATGGCTACTCATATAATGTCTTTAAGTATCATATACACCTTAATCTGGTATATGCAATATAAATATATATTATATAATTTTATATATAGTCAGATATTTATGTGTACAAGACCGGAAGAAAGTTCATATGTGTATCATTTATATATTACTTTGCTTCAGAAAGAATTAGAGGTGGGTACTAACTTGGGATTATATATATTTTCGGCTTTGTAACACAGATATTTTTCTGTGTCATTAAATACACTTTGAAGACATCATTTTAATAGCTGCCTAGTAATCCATTATTTGGAAATGCCATCATTAATGACTTCTCTATAATGGATTTTGCATCATTTCTAAGTTTACAGTGCCATAATACTACAATAAATTTCCTGGTAATTACATCTTTTAGATATCTATTATTATTTCCTTGGGATCAGTTTCTAAAAGTGGAATTACTGAATAAGAAAGTTTACTCTGTTTTTAAGATTGCTAAAATATAATTCCAGTTCCTAGATTTTGCCAATTTGTACGTGGGTAGTATCGCCACTAATCAACAATTTTTTCTTCCTATGATTGGTCCTTAGGAAAAAGAGACTACATACGATATGGTCTTTAGGATCTTTTCCAGAAAATTGTATTCCTTCAGGATGGCTGGAAATATAACTAATGCTATAGCAACATTCCAGCAAGAGTTTTAATGCCTGGGAGCCTCGAGGGTCCCCAAGGACGTTTCTGAAGAGATATATTATTCTTTATTTGCATATGGAGAGCTGAAGACATTGGCCTCTCAGATTCTTGGCCTGATTTCAATCAGATGGGCATGGGGAGATTATGTTCACCAGATATGCTATGGAACTTTTTACTGTGAAATTGTAAAGAGATCCAAGGAGCCCTGAGGTCAAGTTGCAGCTCTGGGCTTTAGATTCTCACGTATGAAAATGAAAAGTTTGGATTAGATAATTTCTAAAAGCCGTTGTCTCTGGCAATGTATGGCATCCTAGGTGACTTCTCCTTCCTTCTCTTCCTGGACATCTGCCTCATTTCTACAGGTGTTTTGTTTATGTATTTCTTTCCTTAGGTCATCTTCCCCAGGGATGTTTGTGCTTCAGGAACCCCAGAAGCTGCAGATTCTGTATGAATCCTTGGAAAAGAGCATCCCTGAGTCCACCAAGGTGAGGGAGTAGGGGGAGACCTGGGGAAGAGGGCTGAGGTGTGAAAAAGATAGATTCAGGCCTCAGAACCTTCCTGGCTAGATGGAGGTACAAGTCTGAAGTCAGACTCCTTCCGCAGGGACAATCTTAATACCCGTATCCAGCCCACTGCCTTGCTTCTTTTTTGGGCTCTTCAACATCTTTTGAATCAATTCTACTGCAATCTCAAGTAGATTTCCTTATCTGCTCCAGGCTGTTGGTCACCTGCAGCTTGGCGACCAGCCTCATTCATCTGACACAAATATGATCGTATCACTCCCTCATTTTAAAATGTTAATAGCAATTCATGTCCAAGGCATAAATCTTGCACTCCTTAGTTGGATATACAAAGGTTTATCACAGAATCCCTCTCACAACATCCTCCTTCCAGATAACACCTGCTACAATCATTGAGCCCCTCACAGTTCAGCAGCTGTGTTATAACCGCCAATACCTTCAAGCATTCCTGCTTTTTCTCCTGCTTGAAACTACTTGTTCTCCTCTCTTTATTT